TATTTCTCCTCTGTATATATTAAGGAAGAACCCATGGCAATAGATGTGCAAATGATTGCTACTAAAAACTTGCAGAATAATTGTAATTGGTTCATTCAAGACAAGGTACTGCAGCTACTAAAGAAAGTTAATATAAACAAAGCTCCAGGGCCTGACGGTATCCATCCACGTGTACTTAAGGAACTAAGTGGAGAAATAAGTGAACCTCTTTTTTTAATCTTTCAAGATCTTTTCTTTCAGGAAGTGTTCCGGAGGATTGGAGGAAGGCAGATGTGGTTCCTATATTCAAAAAGGGTTCAAAATCCTTGCCTGGAAATTATAGACCTGTGAGCTTAACTTCTGTGGCTGGGAAAATATTTGAAAGGTTATTAAAGGATAATATTCAAGAATTCCTTAAGAAGAACATGGTTATCAGCAAAAATCAGCACGGTTTCATGAAGCACAGGTCATGTCAAACTAACTTGATTCCTTTCTACGAAGAAGTAAGTAGAAGTATAGATCAGGGTGTTGCAGTGGATGTGATCTATTTGGATTTTGCCAAGGCATTTGATACCGTTCCACACAATAGATTAATGTTCAAACTCAAGGAAATCGGTCTAGATGAAAATGCTTGTTCTTGGGTAGAACATTGGCTTAAAAACAGAGTACAAAGATTTGTCATTAATGGTAAATTTTCAAGCTGGACAGAGGTGGCAAGTGGTGTCCCTCAGGGGTCTGTTCTGGGACCCCTACTATTTAACATGTTTATAAATGATCTCGAAGACAGCATTGAAAGTCTTTCAGTGTTTCAGTGTTTGCAGATGACACAAAACTTTGTAAAATAATACAATGTGAGCAAGATATTACTTTGCTGCAGAGGGATTTAGATAGACTGGGGGGCTGGGCACTCAAATGGCAGATGAAATTTAATGTTGAAAAATGCAAAGTTATGCACTTCGGCATAAAAAATACACAAGCAACGTATACCCTTAATGGAAGTGAATTAGGGATAACAACACACGAAAAGTACTTGGGAATTGTTATAGACAACAAACTACGCAACAATGTGCAATGTCAATCAGAAGTGGCCAAGGCCAGTAAGGTATTATCATGCATGAAAAAGGGCATTCATTCTCGGGACGAGAATATCATTTTGCCTCTTTATAAATCACTGGTAAGTCCACATATTGAATATGCTGTGCAATTTTGGGCACCTGTTCTAAAGAAGGATATTATGGCACTAGAAAAAGTGCAGAGGCGGGCTACAAAATTAATAAAAGGAATAGAACATATCAGCTATGAAGAAAGGTTAACAAATTTAAACCTATTTAGTTTAGAAAAACGTCGCCTGAGAGGGGATATGATAACATTATACAAATATATTCAGGGCCAATACAAACCATTGTGTGGAAATCTATTCACAAACCAGACTTTACATAGGACACGAGGCCATCGTTTAGACTGGAAGAAAGAAGATTTCGTCTAAGGCAAAGGAAAGTTTTTTTTACTGTAAGAACAATCAGGATGTGGAATTCTCTGCCTGAAGAAGTGGTTTTATCAGAGTCCATAACAGATGTTCAAACAGCTACTAGATGCATACTTGCAAAACAGAATATTCAATGATATAATCTTTCAATGTAGGGTAATAACTGCTTGATCCAAGGATAAATCTGACTGCCATTCTTCAAGAAGAATTTTTTTACTACTTGTTCAAAATTGTGCTTGAACCTTTTTTTTGCCCTTTTTCAACAGCAACAAATGTGAGGAAGGCTGCTTATGGACAAAGTCACTTTTCAGATATGTAACTAAGAACTTCTTTGCAAGATGAAAATTTTATTTTCGTTTTTTTTTGTTTGTTCAATATGATTTTACACAGCTCTCATTGCCAAGCATTTCTGTAGGTATTGGAGTGCCCCAATGCCCAGTGGATTTTAATGCTATATGAAGCTTTCAAGTCTAAGTAGGCTTTGAGTCCTTAATTACCATACTAACACGTAACACCAACAAGGAGTAGGCTAGTTATATGAAAGCCGACCTGTGCATAACAAATGTTTAGTTTGCCTAACACCATAGACTTTGCTGCTCACACCATGTTTACCCTGGTATCACTCTAAATAGAGATTAGGATAGCAGCAGAGAACTGTGAGTGACTGACTCAATACATGGATTTCGTATATTAAGTGCTGTGTTGTTTGTTTGTTTGCTGTGTGTGTGTGTGTATGGGTGTCTGTCTGATGATGTATGTAAAGTGCTGTGATGACATCATGTGTGCCTGTCCTGTTTGAGTGGATGTTGGATATGGATGCACTATAGGAATGTTGAACTTTGTATATGTATGTGTGTCTTGTGTGTGTGTGTGTGTCTGTATGTATGTGTCTCTGTATGTATGTGTGTCTGTATGTGTGTGTGTCTGTTGAGGAGGGGGGAAGAGGGAGTAATAGGTGGGAGGCGGAATGAGGGGGCCACATGGATTAGTTTCCCACCAGGGCCCCATGGATTGTGTGTACGCCACTGACTCCAGCATCCTGGAGTCAGTGGCTGTTCCCAGTTAAGCTCATTCCTCCAAAAACATACCACGCCATTTAGAGAACATAGGGATTTTACCCCCTTTGAAAATTCATGTGTTTAGGGGTGCAACGCTCCACCGACCCTTGTCACATTTCTATCATCTCATTCAGAGAAGTTTCCCGGAGAGTGATTCCCCCTTCTTTCAAGCAAAGTTGTGCTCTATCTTATGGATCCAGATCGCCAATAAGGATTGAGAATATATTATGGGGCGAGTAATGAAATACTCGATCAATATGGAGAGAGCTTTTACAAGAAAGTGGCCATGTGGTACCGAACTCTCTCATTCCTCCATACACATTTTACTTTTGTCAGTGATAGGTGCTGAAGGTGCTTGGAAAAGGAGGGCACCATTTACCACATATGGTGGCAGTGTTCAAAAATGCGCCCCTTTTGGTTGCAAATTTTAGATGTAATTAAAGGAATATTTCCCAAGATCCCTACATTACCCCTTCTCAGGTGCTGTTCGAGTGGCCCAACTCCACAAAGGTAATGAACAACCAAACACTTATATGGTTTCTGTTGCGAGAGGCGAACGCCCTGATTCCAGCCTTATGGAGGCAGACCGAACCGCCTATAATTGACCAATGGATTAATAGGGTGGAGGATGTCAGAAGTCTGTAGGAATTACACTGGTCCTCTAGAAGCCTCTGTCAGATTGGTGGATTTCAAGCCAACCAATCAGAGTGATGTGACAGGTAAATGTAGATACTTACCTGGCAGTCTCTTCATTTACCTGTCAGAGCACTCTGATTGGATGGCTTAAACCCACCAATCAGAGTGTTCTGAGCCTAATTGCAGGGCGGGGCAAGGCTTTTCCCCCTCCCCCTTCTTATTACTTCCCCTTCTTCTTAGTCCCCCCTCTCCCTTTCCCCCCTCCCCATCCCCCTTTTTCTGACTCCCCCCTCCCCTCTTCTTCTTACTCCCCCTCCCCTCTTCTTACTCCCTCCCCTCTTCCCTTACTCCACCTCCTCCCTCTTCTTCCTCTCCCCTTTTCTTCTTACTCCCCCTGTTTTCTTCTTACTCCCCCAGTTCTTCTTACTCCTCCCCTCCTGTGTTCTTCTCACCTCCCCCCTCCCGTTTCTTTGAGCCCCCTCCCTCTTCTTCTTACTCCCCCTTCTCTTCTTCTTCTTACTCTCCCTTCTTCTTCTTACTCTCCCTTCTTCTTCTTACTCCCCCTCTCTTCTTCTTCTCCCTTCTTCTTACTCCCCTCTCCTCCCCTCTTCTTCTTCTCTTCTTCCCTCCCTTACTCCCCCTTCTTACTCCACTTACTCCCCCCTCTCTTACTTCCCCTCTTCTTCTTCCCCCCTCCCCTCTTCTTCTTACTCCCTTCCTCCCACATCCCCCCTTCTTCTTACTCCCCCTCCCTCTTCTTCTTACTCCCCCACTTCTTCTTACTCCTCCCTCCCCCTGTTTTCTTCTTACTCCTCCCCTCCCTATGTTCTCCTCACCTCCCCTTCCCTGTAGCATGGCCGAGCTCCTCTCCGGTCTGCGGTACAGGAGTTTCTGTTTCCTGGACCCGGCCGGACTGACAGGAAGTGCACACTGAGTGAAGGGGACGTGAGGAGAGAGGCAGTGCGGCAGCAGCCTGAGCGCTCTCTATAGAGCGCTCAGGCGGCTGCAGCATTTCAAGGGCCGGCGATGGCGGCGCAGGGCGCCCCCTCCTATATGGCGCCCTAGGCGGCTGCCTAGTTCGCCTTATAGGAAGCGCTGGTCTTGCATAGGGTGCAAAAGAGTCTTTCATCAGCCCCTTGGGGTGGACGCACTCTATTGCGAAGTGTTGAGGTAAACAGGGAGAGCTTGGAGATCAGTCCCATTTTTTGTTTTATTACATTCCAAACTATTAAGAAATTAACTGTGGCTAGACAATTTATGTGAATGAGGGGACTTTCAAATACTTCACTCTTGTATACAAATTTCTTCACAATTCTCCAATCTCTCCTCATTCAACAATTCTCTCCCCTGGCACATAAAACAATAAAAAAACATTACACTGGATCATTTAAAGCATCTGTAGCAATAAAAAATGTTAGCTTACAGCACAAAATTAAGCATGTGTTGGACCGCTGAAAATGTAAATGTTGCTCTCTTATTTACAAACAAAAATCATATTTACAGTATGGATCCTTTGCAACAAACACACAGGACAGGGAAGATGTGCTGATTGGTGTTCTATACAATTAATCCCATTCCTAGGACAAATCTTTCAAACACTTATTCACACTCACAACCACCACCAGACTTAACTAATGACAATTAGAGGGTGGACAAGGTGAACCTATTTGTCTGTGTACACTTTTTCTTTTATCCTAGTATATTCACTTATATATCTCTGTCTAGTTCTCTTACTAGACTAAATTCACAGGATCTTATAGAGACTGAGTCATATAAAATACACATATCACTATAACCTTTCCTAAAATGATCTAGACTTACAAAACCATGGGGGTCATAGATTCAAGGCGTCTAAAAAGACACAGAGAATTACTACTTACCGCCAATGGTCAGCTAGATCCCTAGATCCCACTTCTAACACCAAATGAAAGGCTAAACTGATGACTTGATCCCTTCTGGTCACGGTTCTCCAACCCTCGGTTGTCACCTGAGCTCAGGGAAGAATTATGGAAGCAGAATAACGAGACAGACACAAGATTGCTTTCCAAAAGTCTTCTGACAATGTATTCAAATGCTTTGTATTTATACAATATTTGTCACGAACATTGGTTACAAAAAATGCATACAAAGGAAATAGTTTCTGCTGTTACGTGCAATAATCTTATCTTGCAAAATACCACATATACCTTGTGGCTAAGCGCATCCTGTTACATAGAAACTGTTATAGCTTGTGTCTTCCTTCCAGTTATGTTTTGTAAGTGGTTCTGCAAAAGAGCTTGCTACTATATTTGCAAAATAATTCAACTTATACAATACTAACTGATTAACTGTTTAAATTACTTCAGATGCTGTGCTGCAAATGTATTTATCGTATACCAAGGATGCATGGCACTGTTGGGGGAACTTGGTGTTATAAAGGTTTACTCAGTAAAGAGAGAATTGCAGGGAATTGAGATGGGAATTTCAAACTTTAGGTCGAAATAGTGCAGCTGAATGGGAGAATTTTTCCAACTTGGCTACTTTGGCGCCAAGTTTGAAATTATCATCGCAATTTCCTGTAATTCTTTATTGAGTAGATCCAGGGCCGGTGCAAGGATTTTTAGCTACACAGGCAAAGATGCATTTTGCTGCACACCCCCCACCAAAAAAAAGTGCATCTTCACCTGTGTATCTTGTATCCCCCCCTTTTGAATTTTTTACCCTCTTTAGTTTTTCATATTCTCTCTTTTGAATGTATTACCCCTTTTGTGCTTTAGTGTATTTTATTTCCCCTTAAGTGTGTCTTACAACCCCCTTTGTATGTCTCTTACTTCCTCCAGCCCCTTTGTGTCTCTTACCCCCAGCCCCTTTCTGTGTCTCATTCTTACCCCAGCCCCTTTCTGTGTCTCTTTCTCCTCCAGCCCCTTTCTTTGTCTCTTTCTCCACCACAGTACCTCTATGTGGCTCTTTCTCCCCTTAGTCCGTTTTGTGTGTCCCTGCCCTCCAGATCCCTTTGTGTGTCTTTCCTCCCAAGCCATGTAAACATAGATTTGCAGATATGAAAAAATACATACTGTGGCAAATCTAGCCACTTGGACATTATTTAAGTACTATCGCTTTAAGGGTTGCCTGTATGATTTTCGTGTTATGTGTGTTTCTGGGTATAATGTAATACGATTGTGTAACGTTGTATTGCCTGCATTGGCTATCTGCCGAAAGCAGATAGCTGATTCCCTTTCGTTTTACGAACGGCACCTTTGCGGGCCGTTCATGAACCGAAATAACCACCCTGTAACAGCCCACACATTGAGAGACGTGTGGCGCTCGTTAACCGATTGCAACAATGTTGCAATCGGTAATTAGAGGCTCTCCAAGGTGGCCGTCATTCGGCTACCGACCATGCGGCAGTCGGCCATCTTGGATCCTTTGTTCCCCAGCGGTGTTTGGTCGTCGAGCGCGTGGTACTAAAAACGGCTACTCGACGGCGCGAACACCGCTGGACTTCCAGGCCGTTCGGGAGTTACGGGCCGTTCGGTATTTTATTCCCTATACATCAATCGGTCTTTTAAGTGTGTGTTTTAATGAATATGTTTTTCGTGCGGTGTTCGGTTGTTTTAGCTGGGTTCTGAGCGGTAATCTAACGAATGATGCGCTCAGACCCCAGCTATCTACCGAACGTCCATTCGTGCAAATAGACCTAACATTCGAAAAACGGTGTATTTTAAAGTAAATTGCCAGTTCTGCTCCACGGAGGGATAATCCACTTAACGGCACATTCCAGTGGGAGGATCCCTCTCGTGCAGCAGATGGGGGAAAGGCTCTGTAATGTAAGTTCCCCACGTAGTCCACCCCTGGAATACCCCTGGGATAGGACTCAGGAAACCCCTTGCATGGGGAATTGTATAAATTGTGGAGCCTGTGAATAAAGCCTCAGTTGACTCTCAGAACTGTGTTTCGTCCGGTTACTGGGAGATTTGGGAGATTGCCTTGCTTTTCAGTGCTTGACTGTGGATTACCTTCTGAACCAATGGAGATCGTGGGATTTATTATTGCCGCTCCGCTACACATACATACTTACAGCGCTTCCCTCCTGCCGGTCAGCCTGACTTTGCGCCCCCAGGGCCGGTGCGCCCTAAGGCGGCCGCCTTACGGTAGCGCTGGCCCTGAGTAGACCCTATAATCTGCGGAGATTAATTATCTGGTTTGGACAGAGTGGGCGGAACTTTAAGGCAGTGCGTGTGGTACATTTTCAAGAAAGTAATTGAGGGCAGTGCTGCAAAGTGTCCCTGGAATTTTATTTCAAATGTTGGCAGCTATGGCTCACGTGCATCACTTCTTTATTACAATAGAGAGAGAACCAGTCCAAACTGGTTCTGAAAGTTATAGAATTGGAAATTTTGCATATATACACTTTATCAGTAACAAGCAAAGGAATGTTAGTTACCCTCCCTTTTCTACCATTTCACAAAAATTAGGGTTGCCACCTGGCCGGTATTTGATTGCAAAAATACTGACAATACTGATAATTGCCGGTATTATTTGTGAGGATAAAGTTATGCAATATCAGCACTATATTTAGCAACGTGTGTATATATGCAGAAGTCTAATGGAAGAATGGTGAGAGAAATAGAACCAGAACATCCATCTCTGTAATAAATGGCATGTGCACACATTGTTATATAGATTGTAAGCTCACAGGCAGGGTCCTCTACCTGTTGTATCGGTCTACTCTTATTGTGTTTGTTTTTTTCCCAATTGTACAGCGCTGTGGAATTTGTTGGTGCTTTATAAATGTCAGTAATAATATACTATATACACACAATAACATACAGAGACATAGCAGACACACACTCACATTATACAGACACTGACACACGCTCTCACTACAATGTGCACACACAGTTATGCACATTTACACAACGTCACACTGCTATACACACACTACTATACACACTCATTCAGACAGTATACGCACACTGCCTCACGTACACAATGCTTGCTATATGCTATAACAGACAAAGTGCACACATTGTAAGTAGTTTATTAGTGATTTAGGGATTTTTCACATTCCAAATACTCTCATTCTCTTGTGATGT